GATTTCCTGAATTTAAGGTACACCCCCTAGTCGGATAAAGATGGACTATCAGATACTGATGTACCATCTTTAATTGAATATTTCTTCAATTTTAATCTTGAAAAATAAAACCATCGAGATAGGACAAATTTAAAATACGACACTTGTCATTTTTGAAATGTATATTTTTCATGCTTTCTTTTGAGAATTATCTTCTGAAGGTACAATTTAGAGAGAAAAACTAACAATTCTTGTCTGAGAACAATTTGGATGACTTTGGAGATTTATAACTTTGGTAACTTTGTCTATATATCTTATTAAATCAAATTTTCGATTTTGAGAACAATTTGGATGACTTTGGAGATTTATAACTTTGGTAACTTTGTCTATTTATCTTATTAAATCAAATTTTCGATTTCAATAAATAATCTATTTTAATCACTCATTCATCCTTTTATTAGCCTAAAATTACAAAGTTACTATAACAACACTAAATTTATTGAATCCTTGCCTTTCTTGTTTACATAACTTGTTGATGTGTCATTTTATTGAGAGCATTGAATTAAATTTACTTATAGAGATTAAAATAGTTTTACACCATTGTCTAATAAAATTCTAACATCCAAATATCCAAATATGTTATATTAATATTTTAAATTAAACATATAATTTAGAGGGTATATTATTAATTGACAATTTTACATATTTTTTATCTATTACTTATAAACAAAAACTTTTATTTATTGAAAGTTTAACCACAAACCTATTGTACAATTCGAAATGAGATTGGATACTTTTAAACACAAACCGTGATAGATACCATCAAGACACTCACGAACACACGCACAAAAAGAAAAAAGAAGGAAAGAATCTACGATTTGTTAATTTTCCTAGACCCCATTAGATTTTTGAATTCAACAATGTCTGGGTTAGAGGAATTAAGAAAAAAGCTTGCACCTTTATTTGATGCTGAAAAGGGGTTTTCATCATCAACTTCATCTTTAGACCCAAATGATTCTTACACAGTAAGCCCTTTATTTTCTTTCTCTCTCTTCTAATGAAAAAAGATTGAAATTTTTTAACTTTTGTTTTTGGTTGTGAAGTTTTCAGATGGTGGAACTGTAAACTTGTTGAGTAGATCATATGGGGTTTACAACATCAATGAATTAGGGTTACAGAAGTACTCAACTTCTAGGTCTGTTGATGATGAGATTGATGATGGTGAGAAGACATATAGGTGTGGTTCTCATGAGATGAGGATTTTTGGAGCAATTGGTAGTGGTGCTAGTAGTGTTGTTCAAAGAGCTATGCATATACCAACTCATAGGGTTCTTGCTTTGAAGAAAATCAATATCTTTGAGAAGGTATTCTGTTTCGCGTATTCTTAATTCTTGTGCCAATTTTTCGTAATTTATAATTTCCATTTGAATCTCTTGTTGCATAGATGTCAATTCTATTTGTATAGGGGAAAACTTAGTTTGCAAGTTAGTTTAACCATATGGTAGTTATCATGGTTTTAAATAGCGGTTGCGAGGATATGGTTGGAGATGTATCGCGATTCCTAATTGTTGTTAATTGCGGCTCATACTGGCTTAACTGCAGATGTGTTGCGGTTTTGTTGATATAAATAGCGTTATGTCGCGGCCCAGTTCGCTGTTGCGGAGCTTTATTTAAAACTCTGGTAGTTATTGATGACTAACTACCTTTTCTGTGCCATAGTTTCTAAATATAGATAATACCATTGTATTGTATTCCTCTTTTCAGTTTGAGTGTATAAGAAATGTCTCTTATAGCTCTCTTCAATCTCAATTTTCTCTCAATTCTGTTAATAGAAATGTGTTTTCTCTCGACGTTGCGGTTAGTCCTGTCATACACTTATTCATGATTGGTGTTAAGGCAGTGATTGTGTACACGTGGCTGAGATACACTCTTGAGTCTTGATGCTATATTTTGAGGTTATGGAATTGCTAGAAACTTTGTTTGTATGACTCAATTTGTGTTGTCAAATAGCGGTGCTATAACACTATAGCATAGCGGAATTTGAACAAATCCCAATTGTTCCGCGCGGTACACTATTTAGTGCAGAGTGTTGCCAAATAGCGGCATTATAGCACTATAGTATAGCGTGACACAATTTGAAGAAACCGCTATTTTCTACAATCTGCGTTTGACAACATTGGATTTGAAGTTATAGAGTTGCTAGGCACTTTATGCGTATGACTCTATTTGTGATATATGATTAATGTCTGCTTCAAAGGGATAAAAGAGAAAATCACAGTAGTTTTTTGTTGACTTATAGTGATATACTTTTTTGTGGCTATTAGGAGAAACGGCAGCAGCTACTTACTGAGATAAGGACACTATGTGAAGCACCTTGTTATGAGGGTCTTGTGGAATTTCATGGTGCATTTTACACTCCAGATTCTGGACAAATAAGCATAGCTTTGGAGTACATGAATGGAGGGTCACTTGCAGATATTTTACGAAGTCATAGAATGATTCCTGAACCTATTTTATCGTCCATGTTTCAGAAGCTCTTACATGTGAGTAACATATTCTTCTATTTTCATTTTAAACCTATCATTACTGAAAACACTAAGAATTGAGATATGCTAACTTCATTGGTATTTATCTTTTGGAAGGGTCTAAGCTATCTGCATGGAGTCAGATATTTAGTTCATAGAGACATAAAGCCTGCCAATTTACTTATTAATCTCAAAGGGGAGCCGAAAATTACGGATTTCGGTATTAGTGCTGGCTTAGAGAATTCAGTTGCAATGGTTAGTATGTTCTCCGTCGGTCTCAGTTTGGTAGAATTGTCTGTAAATATAAACTAACAGATAATGTACCTTTTCAGTGTGCTACATTCGTTGGCACTGTTACATATATGTCACCCGAACGAATTCGAAATGAAAACTATTCTTATCCGGCTGATGTTTGGAGCCTAGGTCTTGCGCTTCTCGAATGCGGTACGGGAGAATTCCCATATACAGCCAATGAAGGTCCTGTCAATCTTATGTTGCAGGTGTGTGCCAATGCTTCTTTGAATTATTTGTTTCCTTTTGTTAAACCGAATGCTGCATGTGATAGCTCCATTCTACTAATCCGATTGCTCGCGTTTATTTCCGTCTGAAAATAACTATACTTGTTTTTTGTGGCAGATCCTTGATGATCCATCACCATCACCGTCAAAAGAGAAGTTTTCGCCTGAGTTCTGCTCCTTTGTTGATGCTTGCTTACAGAAGGATCCAGATAAGAGACCAACGGCAGAACATGTAAGAAAAATGAGATAAATCACTCTTTTGTAATACACTGTTTAGTACAAAGCTTTGCCAAATAGCGATCATAGACGCGCTATAGCGCTATAATGTAGTAGATTTTGAACAACATTGGTTTAAACACTCCATTGGATAAAAACGTAACAGTATGAAATGAACTTGATAATTTTATGTTTGCAGCTTCTTTTGCACCCTTTCATCACAAAGTACGAGACTGCCAAGGTAGATTTAGCAGGATTTGTTCGCAGTGTTTTTGATCCAAAGCAAAGAATGACGGACCTGGCAGACGTAAGCAACAGAATTCAAAAACAATAATTACCTTCATTTGTCACAGATATATTGATTTTGACATGTGGATACTAGTTTGTTTCAATTGTTTAAGAAGGTTTGAACTGAAACTGTTTTTACTTTGCATTTTTCTCTGCAGATATTGACAATACATTATTACTTACTATTCGATGGACCCGACGAGTTGTGGCAACATACAAAAAACTTATATAACAAAAACTCAATTTTCAGGTGCGTATTTTTTTTATTTTTTTATTTTTTATGTTTTAGTTCTGCACCAATTTGCTATTTCGTAAAATTTGAAGGACTAAATTGCTGAATGCTTGCAATTTCAAAGATAAAAAAAATGCTTCTATAAAGGTAAAAAGAGAGTATTCTAACATTATTCTTGTATGTTTTGGAGTTTCTCTGGGAAACAACATATTGGTCCTAACAATATCTTCACAACTCTATCGAGTATCCGAACAACATTAATCGGCGATTGGCCACCAGAAAAGTTAGTGCACGTCGTTGAGAAGCTTCAGTGTCGAGCACACGGTGAAGATGGTGTTGCAATCAGAGTCTCGGGATCATTCATAATTGGCAATCAGTTTCTGATATGTGGAGATGGCATTCAAGTAGAGGGATTACCAAACTTTAAGGATCTTGGAATTGATATTCCTAGTAAGAGAATGGGTACATTTCATGAACAATTCATAGTGGAACCAACCACTCAAATTGGATGTTACACCATTGTTAAACAAGAACTGTACATTAACCAATAATGATAAGATTTTCAATTTTTTTTTATGAATATGTTTCATTGTTTTTTATCACTATGTTTTGTTAGTTCTGCAAATGTTAAAATAGTTTATCAAATATAAGCCCTTTTGCTAGTCCTTTGAAGGGGATGCTAAATATCTGATTAATCAGACCAAATATAAGTCCTTTTCTTCTTCTTCTTGGTTTTCACCAGTCTTAAATTAATAATAGTAAATATTATGTTATGGCATAATGGAGTTATATTTGCTCAAAGAAAGTATTAATATAATTGTAGAGTGTGATTAGTTGTACATTCAAGTCCCTATCTCATAATGAAAAGTGTGATTAGCAAATAAGGTAGGTCGAGTAAGAGAAGAACAATAAAGATTTGTCATCAATTAATTCTGCTACTACTATGTACTAGTACAAATAACACAAGTACTTAGCCTTTTTAATGAGGCCGTTGGATCATTAATGACGACAGTAATATAGGATTAAATTTGTCATATATTTTTGAACTTAAATGTCATATTTAATATGAAACAGATTAGGTGAAAAAACAAAGAACATTGTGACCAGCTTGATTTAACTACAGGTACTTGCTCTGTTCTGATTTCAATATTCACTTCATTTCGTTCATATATCTTGATATGGAATCGTCTTTTGCAGAGAACATTGATTAATGCTGATTCTTCAAAGATCTGATTTTTACTCATGTTAACAACTGTGGTTTTCTTGATTAAAACGACTTTGTCTTTGGATGATACTATTGGTTTCAAAGATGGAAAATTGTTAGGGTGTGAAGAGCTCTCTATATTTGAGATGAACAATGTTTCCAAATTTGAGGTAAACAATGTGTTAGACTTTAGGAATTACTAGGAATCAAAACAAAATGTAGTTCTAATTCTATCAATTCTGTCATTTACAAGCATATGAGCAGCCTTATTAAATGTTATCCGTAGCGGTTAGAGAACCTAAGAGCAGCCATTAGAATTATTAGAGTAACAATTATTATTATTAGGAGCAGTTACAAAACTTAGGTAGAATAAAAAGGGAAACAAAACCATGTTCTAGGAGGCTGAAAATTAGAAAAAGGTTATATTTGGGAGGGAGAGACCAAGCTCTCGAATTCTTGGAAGGGAGAAAACCAAGACTCCCAAATTTCTTGGAAACTCATTGTAATTACTATTCAATTTTATTGTTTGATAACCAGTTTCTATCAACTATTGTTAGACTCTTCAATTTCATAACTGTTATTAAATTATTATGAGTTAGTGGGTAATTATTAGAATTATTATAATATTAATTTAGAGTGTTTAGGTCTAGAATAAATAGGGGAAAACATTGGGGAGTTGATCATCTTGGAATTGGATAGGGGGGCCATTTTGGTATTGGGAGGTGCAGACCCTCGAAGTTCTGCGGTATTATTCTGCAAATCAAAGGGATTTTTCCTACTTTCTTTTATCACAATGTTTCTGAATTTTAACTCTGTTGGTTTTTTTAATAAAATTCAAAAAAATAAATGATGTGTTTCTCAATTCTCATTCACCTAATTTTTATTTATTTATTAATTTTATCTTATTTTCGTGTTTTAGAAAAAGTTTGGTACAATGCGGCACTCCCTAAATTGGCTCAAAAGGAACGAAGCAGTCACACTTCAAATTTTAACAACTGAAGTTCGGAGGTTGAACAAATTGCAGAAGCTCTGTGACTTGATCCCAAATGCTGCAGAATTTCAGGATCCAAACGCCCAACATGATCCAAACCATGTAAACAATGCTGCTGTCGGAGGGTTACAAGGTCGAAGGTCCTAATGCTAGGCAAATTTCTGATCTCAACTCGGGGGATTTCAAGGTGTTAACACTGCCCCGTAGTTCCAACTGATACCATCTCCCAGACATTAAAAAAATTTCACAGATTCCCAGAACCTGCTTGTGTCACAAGTTCAACAAATGAGTTTAGATCTAAACGTTGTGGTCAAATAACTCTCTGATGCATTCACTGCAGTTCAGATTCAGCCATCCAAGGATTAACTTCGGGTTTGTTAGCAGGGAATTCAGTTAGGTTATTTGTTTTAGACTGAATTTTAGTTAAGGTATGAGCCCAGTAATGACAGAAATCTCATAATTCAAACTGTTCATATCATCAAATGTATACAGACAAAACTAAAAGCTCCATGTTATTCTCTATATTACAATGTGATTGGTCTTGTGGTTGAAGTTATATGTTCTTAATTTGCATGGTTTTCCATCATCAAGTCTTGCTTACTAAGCAAAAATTCATGTTTTTTAGTTTGAGCTATTATAAAACATTGTTTGATTTGACTACAAATATCAAGTTGAAAATGTTCTGTAACATGCCAACTTGATTAATCATGGCATGTTGCTAATACTGCATCTTGTCTTTTGGTTATGTTTTTTTTAATGGTTGCAGAGAACCCTCCTTCTCAAGTTTTTATGTGGCGAGTTGCTCAGCAGTGCGGAAAGTCTAATGTTGAGTTACATCAGAAATTGGGTGCAATTTTTTGGAGTGGAAAAACATGAAAACTAAGGAAGATGTTTTATCCACAAAAGCTGCGAAATTTGATTTGCTGTCACAATGTACCAATGGGAAAGTTGGTCTTAAGGACGGGTTCATTTCTTTGTTCTCAAATACTATTAATAAGCCACATACTGCAACAACCAATCCTAATGGTCTTGGGGTATTTGTTGATAGTCTACCTTCAGAAGAGATTCCTATAGAGAAGTCTAGGTTCAATTGTGTTGATAAAAGCATATCTGTGACACATTCAGATTCTGATAGCCAAAATGTTTGATGATGTTACTGTTATCCCGTTAGCAAATTGATTGGGAACACAACTCTTTCTAGAAATGTGTTTTTGTGGCGATTGGTTCAAAACAAAACGAATTCCCGACACCTTGGTTTGTATTCTGGACTGGTCCAATGATTAGAATTGACTCAATCCGTTTTCACCTTTGACACGGCCCAATAATGCTGGTCCAGCATCTCTGGTCGACAACGCCCTCGAACGACATGACCAGCAATGCCCGAAATGCACGCCTATCCGTGCGGGCAACTACCTCCCAGTCTGCTCGATACACGAAGAGCAGACGTCCAAGAAACACTCATAAACGCTTTTGTCAGTCATCTCATCCTTGCTCGACACAACGGCTAGTTACAGACACGACTGCCCGTTTTGACCAAGTCCTGACAGTTATCTATTTTTGCGGACCCGCATATCTAGGCCCAAAAATAGGGACCAATGGCTACGCGTTAGGGGAACTATAAAAACCCTCACACTTGTGAGGGTCAGGTATCCAATATTCATACTAAAAACCCTAATATCTTTCTTGTATCTCTTTACACGCATTCTTACTTGATCATCAGAGTGCCTTGCAGGTACACCCCTCCTCATATTTCTAGCCAAACAGACGTCATCATCACAACTCACATTCAGGTTCTGATCAATCGGTAAGATCAGAGGCGCCAACTGTGGGGAACTATCTTCTCCGTATTCCTTCTCTCTCAAAATCGAAGACCAAAGATACCTTCAACTTTCAAATCATGGCCGATAACGATGACCACCATCTGTCTGGAAAAAAAAAATTATATTTTCCCCTGTCCACAAGACAAATGAGAGCTAAGAACTTCCCCATCTAGAGGATATCCCCGATATCAGAGACGATCGGACAACATCCCCAGACTTAATCGATGCTGAACACGACAACCTCCAACTCTTGGACGATCAGAGGACCAAGGACACCAACGAGGAGCTTCCAAAAGTCCTCCAACCAGTTCTTATTCCCCCAAATGTTGACCCGACCATGGCAGCACTGTTCGCCACCCTCTATCAAACCAACGCCATAATCCTGCAGCAGAGCAAGAAGATTGGGGCATGAGAGAAAAAACAGTCAACGTCTCCTCCTCGGAGACACCGACGTTATGACTCTCACAATCCATCTCCACCAAGGCGTGGTTGTCCCCCAACACGGAAGAAACAAGAGGTTTCTTTCATCAAGAAACGAGGCCGCACGCCTCCCCTGAAAGATCAAGGCTCTTCATCTTCCAAGAAGACAAAGAGCGACTGCCGACTTAACCGCGACCGTTCGCCGTCGCCCAAACCAAGGCAACAACGAAGAAGCACATCTCCCCGATGGGACAACAACCCCCAGCGAGGAATGAATCATCATTCCCCGCCACCATCTCCCGAAGAAAGCGACGAGGATGAGCCCCGCGGTCAATTATCAAGAGAGATCATGGAGACCACGCTCCCCGTCGGCCTAGAGAAACCTCCCCCGCTGGGGATATACGACGGAACGATCGACCATGACGACCACATCGAGAACATCGATGCGCTGCTCGACTACAGGGGGTTCGTGGAGCGATCAAATGTCAACTTTTTCCTACAATGCGCAGGAAAGGAGCCATGACCTGGTATAAGAGCCTTTTAGATGAATCCATCACGTCGTGAAAGAATTTGAGAAGACAATTTTCCAGGCACTTCATCGTATCGCGCCGACATCCCAAGTCAGAGGCATCATTGGAGGCAATCATTCAAGAGAGATATGAGTCTCTTCGAGCATACATCTTGCGCTCTACGAGCGACGACATGAAGAAATATCTCTTCGAACGCAAGCTCCGTCCCCGCAGCGACTTCGCCAAGGCGGTTGGCATAGAATCACCAGCCACCCTGAACGCTCTTCTCCTCAAAGCACAAGCACATCCAATAAGAAGAAAAGAAGGCAGCCAACACCGCGAGGGACTCACATCATAGGGAGAATGCGAAAGTCCCAAAGAGTGATGAACCCTCGACATCTTGTCGAGGAGGAGAAAAACGAAGGGAAGACAAGTCCCGAGAGTCTAGAGACTATAAGGGACCAGCTGGTCATTTTCACGACTACACCCCTCTCAACACTTCACGCGAGCGTATCCTTACTGACTGCACCAACTCCGAATTCAAGCAAGTTGGGGTCCACTTTCCCCGACAAAAAGCATCCAAACCAGAGACTGATAAGAACAAGTACTACAGATTCCACAAAAGTCATGGTCACATGAGGGAAGACTGCATCCACCTTAAAGATGCCATCGAGATCCTCATCCGGGATGAGCATCTCAAACAATATAAGAAGAAAGATACTCCCTGGGAAGATGCTCCCGAACCAAAGAAAGTCGAGGAAGAAAATACCTTCCACGGCAAATCTCTCATGCCCGTCGCTATGAGCATCACGAGGTTAGTGGATTTCTACTTTCCCGACATGGAAGAGCCCCCCTTATACTTCTCGTCACACAGCCCCTGGGAATCCTTCCCAGCAGCAATGGTCATCTCTGACGGGGGACTCAACTAGTGTGCGATAGGCTCGGTAAAAAGGAGGTTTGAGCAGCTGATATAAGCCAACTCTGACATGAATGCCACCCTCGAAAAGATCAGACGAGGCTCATACCCCCTCATATTCTTTCGGGAAGAGCTGCCGAACGGAGCTCCAAACTCTAGCATCCCCTTGCTTGTACGAGCACAAATGACAAACTTTGACGCCAAGCGCATCTTAGTTGACCAAGGCAGTTCAATGGACATAATATACACCCAACTATTCAACACTCGACAGCTGAATGAGATGTATCTAACCCCATATGTGGGCTTAGATCTCTAGGGATTCAACGGTTCCGTCACTAAATCCTGGGGGTATGTCGAGCTAATCATCACCTTCAGGGCAGGTGTAACGGTCAGAGTGATCAAGACCCAATTTTTGGCAGTGGACTGCCCGTCACTTTACCAATACATCTTTAAAATACCCACTTTGGCTGAGCTGATAACGATACCCTCTATCATGCATTTAAAGATGAAACACTACACCACAGAGGAACTGCTCACCACACTCCACAAAGATATTCAGGCTGTGAGAAGGTGTTTTGAAGCAGCTGCCAAAGGCTTGAGCTCCATAAGTACTTAATCCAGAACAACCAATAGACCCGCTCTCCCTGATAACTTTGAAGATCCAAAGCCGCTGCCTCATGTTGACACGGTCGACCTAGACAACCGCTTTACAAAGGAGTACCTTAGAGACCAGAAGAATAAGGGGAAGAAACCATGCTTGACGCGGAAGGCCCCTCAACGAGCATACGCGAGTCTACATATCCTATGCGTCCAATCCCAGACAGAGATTTCAAGATCGTTCCCATGGACAACGGCCTCTTCAAAGGAGTCAAGATTGGCACCGACCTCCCTGACTTAGCGAAGAGGCAGCTGAAGACGTACTTGAAGGAAAACACATACTTGTTCTCCTGGAGCGCAACAGAGATTCCCAACCTAGGCTCTGAGATAACATGTCACCACTTAACGATAAATCTTGCCCTCAAGGCAGTTCCTCAACATAGGCACCGACAGTCCCCAGAGAAAACCGAGGTTGTCGTACAGGCCGTCAAAGACCTCTTAGAGGCAAAATTTATTTCTAAAGCCCAGTATACAACCTGACTCTCTAATGTAGTTCTTGTAAAAAAGAGTAATGGAAAATGGCGCATGTGCATTGATTATACCGATCTCAATAGGGTTTGCCCTAAAGACACTTACCCCCTCCCCAATATCAATAGGTTGGTCGATAATTCTCCGGGTTTTAAATTGCTTTTGCTCATGGATGCATATTCTGAATACAACTAGATCTCCATGGCTAAAACAAACAAAAAATACACGGTCTTCATGATCGAATCAGACAACTGTTATTACAATGCAATGCCCATCGGTCTGAAAAACGCGGGTGCCACCTATCAGCGTATGATGAACAAGGTCTTCCGAGGAGAAATCAGGGACATGCTCGAAGTC